GGACATTTCATTGGGTTGGGTCGGCATCTGTCGATTTCCTTCCAAACAGCTTGAAGTTGGCTATAGATCTTTTCAAGGGGTTGTGCTCCTTGTTTGATCTTGCTTGCTTTGACCATTAAATCGTAGATTTGCAGGTGATCTTTTCCGGAGCCATATGTGGCTTTGATTCCTTTCCATAAATCCCAGGCAGTATGATAATTGATATGTGTTGATATACAATATTTATCACCGTTGAATTCTGCTTGCCTCCATTTGTTATATTTGGAATCATAATTTTTGAGGGGTGCGATAGTGATATGTTTGAGCCGTCCCCTTCCGTCAAGAGCCAAGATCATCTTGTGCGCCCAAATGGCGTAGTTCTTATCGTTGAGCTTGTACACCAAATTTAACGACTGATTGAAAGAGCTCTCGATAGGTTCTTCCTTGGTTGCTGAATTCTGGAAATTTTGGAGAATTTCCAGAATTTGTGCAAGATTGACGGGCTGCTTCATTGGATCAGACTCCTCTATGAAGGTGGAGCTTTCTGGAGTTTGATCAGACATTTATTTTTTTATGGTAGATGAAGAAAGCTGCGTTTCATTCAATCGTTGGATCGAATGATGGCTCTGATACCATATTGAAACTAAAAATATAGAATGAACTCATAGGATTTTCTTTCTTATTTCACTACACCAAAATGGTGTCAATATATATTTCAAAGTATAATAAAGAGACAATTAAAGAAGGTGGGTGGAAGCTAATCAAATATTTTTGATTGGTTATTTGATTCCAATCAAGGATATGATTTTAACATAAGAATCACACAATATCTTAATCAAATATATTTTCTTATTTGATATTTCTAACACATTTAGCCAATAACATTAATTTATGTGTATCCTTTAGAAAAAACAATAAAAATAATTTTCTAATTTTTTTTTAAAAAGAGTGCTACTTTAGTAATTCTACATTTGTTAAGCTCAAGAAAAGTTATCATTTATTTTTATATGTTTTTGTTCATAATTGTAAAAATGCACAAAAGTCATGTCTCTGTTTAAAAAAGAATAACAAATGGGTCAAAAGTGGTGTAAAATGATTAAAGAGTGAGCAATTGCAATGCTACGGAGTAAAAATAGAGAAAAGAATGTGGAGCACCAAACGGAGCTCTATCTTGAATTGACACAGAAGAAAAGTTTTCTCAGAAAAATATTGCGGCAGAAGGGACATAAAAATATTTGGAATCAGACGGCTTCAAAAAAAAATTAGTTGAAGATTTCTTGGTGCTCCACATTCTTGTTGCAAGCAACAGATGAGAAAAAATCCTCCTACTTGCCCGTGTGGACATAGGGTATAGTTGGCGACCACACCATGTTAAATCTTGTGTCGTGTATTTTTTACAGTTGATTCGTGATTGTGTGTGTTGCTTCCACGTGCGTTTATCGCCAACATTGTTGTTATATAGTAGAGGCGTGTCTAGTTGAACGCTAAATGCCTTTGGTAAATCATACTACTCCCTCTGTCTAGAAATAGATTTCATTTTTTTAGACCTACCTTTTGATAAATTTTGTTTGTTTGTGTATATACATTGATTATTTGATACAATAAAATATTCTTGTCGCATATAATTTTGTAAAGTTTTTGACGTAATTTTTTAATATGTAAATTTGATTAATTATTGATATATCAATTTTTAAATAAATTAATTTTAAAGATGCAGGATTTTACATCATAAATGACAAATTGTTGTCCAATTTGGGGTGAGGAGTATTATTTTTACGCGATTCAATGACATCATTCTTAGAATGTACCGTCATCATATCCTCAATGCGAATGTTCATTTCTTTACCTCACATATTAAAACTTAATATGTTGCAATTACGGAAGAAATCATCCAAAATAGTTGTAAAATATAGAGAAAGTACTAAAAGAAGAATTTCATGTTTTTGAAATATCGAAGGGTTATGTCACTCGGAAACCTATTCCGTGTATGAGAGCAACCTCTGAATAATGGACGTAACCTTGGATGAAGATTAACTAATGAATATAACGGACGCAGTGTTGTAACACTCACACAAACATGCATAGCAGAGAACGAAGAGAAAAAGAGAGAGACACACACAAAATGTTTACGTAATTCCGAGCTGAATCTCCTACATCTACGAGGCCCACGACCTTGTAACAGCCGTCCACTAGATCATCAGAAGTTTTTACATCAATCAAACACAAAACCAACTTCAAGAGTTTTGATTATGAAATACCTACGAAAGACCTCATTTGCCGAACTCTGTTGGAACCTCCCTCCTTGGCTTGTTACACCCACACTCTGGTTTCTTCCTAAGACATGTTGATCAGCCTTCTCTCCAGGGTAACACACTACTCAACTCCTGGATTAGTGTTAGCGCCTGGTTTATTCAAATACAATTCACAACTCAGAACCTCATGCTAGGATGATCAATATTGCGTGATCTCTTATCGACCTGGTTCCTCCCTTGTTTTACTGAAGCTCTCTCCTAGCATTTTTCTCAATGGAGTCGCTGCCCCCTTTTCCTATCCAGCGTTATATTTATACATCACTTGTCAACCCTAGCACACTGCTTGAAGGACACTTGGCGTGAGAGAGGTTTCCACGTCTAGGCAACTCAATAGCTCATGATTATTGTCAAGTAATCCAAGTTTTCACAACTCGAGGTGTCTTTAAGTTTGCAACAACTCCAACTCATCCAGACTCTTTGAGACAACAGGTTTGCAATAATCTCCAACTCGTCCAGACTCCTTGAGACAATAGGTTGCCCTGAACTCCTATCAAATTGGACGCTATACCTTTATGCTATAACATCTACAAGAACATATATTCTTTAACTAATGTGGTTGTGTGTTGTCAAAAAATAATGCCAACCAAAACGGGGATGTTAATTTATTTGGGTTGGCCCAAACATATTAATAATATTTGACACCCAACCAAGCAGTCCATTTACTCAAGCCCAACCTTTACTCCTTAACCTAATTAAGCTTGCCTTAATTACCACCCTAATCTTCACTATATACTGAGGGGGCTGCCTTGAGTTGTTTCACCATGAAAAACATCCCTTCTCTTTGTGAGTTCTTTGTGTGATATTTCTCTTCCTCTGTGAGTTCATCTAAGTTCTTCTCCATTTCTTTGTGAGTGGAGTGTGGCGAGGTTGGGTTGGGGTGTTGCTCCTTTTGGTACCCTTGTAGTGCACAACTACAGACCGACTTGTACGGGTGACCTCAGCCTAATCGGAATAAATAAATACAAATAACAGTGGTATCGGAGCCTGGTTTGTGCTCGGTATTTATTTACTTCGTATTTTTTGTGGGTGTTCTGTTCTCTCTTTGGAGGTACTGTTCCTTGGCAGAGGGTTTGCTTTTCCTCTTGCGTTTCGTCACTTCGTGTCAGAGGGTCTTCTTTTGATCTTTTTTTTTCTTTCGGTCACTCCCTTTCCACAAAAAAAAGGGGTGGTGCTTTCTTCTGGTCCTTTTTTCTCCCTTCGGACTATTCGTGTCCCCGTGCCAGCAAGGCGCTATTCTCCCGAGAAGAAGAAAAAAAAAACAAAGGACGAGTGCTGGAGCCCAGTCGCACAAATTGCGTCGTGCAATTGAAGGCAGTCCGCAACCGGCGATTCCAGCGGAATTCCGTTGAAGGAATCAGAAGCTCCGACGTCTAGGAGCAGGCTTCGACCCTCGCTGACAGAACCGAATTGCTGCCAAAATTCCTCCGTGGAGTAGGTAAGTCGAATCTAGGCATTAGATTCGCCCAAGTACACAACTCTTTATCCCTTTGCTTTCGTAGCAATTTTTTAGGGTTGTTTAATTCCGCTGCATTATTTCCGATTGCCTAATTCTAATATAGTTTGTGCTCGTGTGAAAGAACAACGGGATTGAGTAAGCAATTTTTTGCTAACATAATAATCTTGGGTTGTTCGTGCGATTGCTTCACACACGTGAGCCAAATTTGGAAAATTTAGGCCAAAATTCTACGTGTCTCTGTGTTGCTGATTTTTTCAGTTTTTTTATTCTCTTTTGTGGGTTTTTTTTTATTTCTCCTTTGTGGTGATTTTTTGATCATTTTTCTCCTTAGTGGATATGTCTACTATGAATCAGTATGCTTTGACTCCTTTTAATGGAAAAACTGATTTTAGTATTTGGAAACAAAAATTGAAGTGTGTTCTTGTTCATCAAAAAGTTTATAGGGCTATTAGTGATTCATATCTAGAAACAGACGCTAAAGAGAAAAAAGTTGAAATGAATGAAATTGCATGTTCCATAATTTACTTGAACTTGACTGACTGTGTGATCAGAAAAGTTGGTATTTTGGAATGTGCTAAAGATCTTTAGAATAAACTTGATGAACTTTATACTGAAAATTCTTTGCCAAACAAGATTTTCTTACTTGAAAAATTTTTCAAGTTTAGATAGGATATGTCTAAAGACATAGAAGAAAATCTAGATGTTTTCACCAAACTGATTTCTAATATTAAATTAACCGGTGATAAACATATTGACGACTACACCCCTATTGCTCTTTTGAATGCTATTCCCGATTCCTACAGTGATGTTAAATCTGTAATTAAATATGGTAGGGATAATATTTCTCTTGATGTTGTTGTGAATGGTCTCAAGAGTAAGGAATTAGAATTGAAAAATTCTAAGAGTGATAAAAATTCTAGGGAGGTTATGCATGTGAGGGGTAGAATTTTAAATAAGTTTCAAAACCATAAACATGCTAACAATGATAACTCAAATGTGAGAAAATTTAACCAGAGAAGGGGTAAGTCTAGATCCAAGTCTAAAACAAGAAAATGTTACAATTGCAATGAATATGGTCACCTTAGTAATAGTTGTTCTAAGCCTAAGAAAATTTAGCAAAAAGATCATGCTAATATGGCTAGTGAATCAAACAACTTTGGTGATGTGTTAATGAACAAAGATTATGCTTATTTGAACTCTGTTCTATCAGATTATCTCTATGAATCTGATTGGCTAGTTGATTCTGGTTGCACCTTTCATATGTCACCATTTAAAAACCTTTTTTCAAACTATCAAGAGATTGATAACGGTATTGTGTCCATGGCTAATGAAAAGAAATGCAAAGTTTTTGGAATTGGAGATATGTGTCTTAAATTTGACTCTGGATCTATTGTGAACTTAAAAAATGTTAGACATGTTCCTGATTTGTCCTATAATTTGCTTTCTTGTGCATCTCTTGAAAATGAGGGTTTTGAGGGAAAACGGGGAAAAGGTGTTACGAAAATCATGAAGGGTTCAATTATTGTTTTCAAAGCTGAAAAGAAAAATAATTTGTATGTGTGCAAAGTTGAACCTGTTTGTGAGCATGCTAATTCTGTGGTTGATAATTCTGTTCTATGGCATAAACGGTTGGGTCACATGAGTAATAAAGGACTTGAAATATTGCATAAAAATGGACACTTGGGTAGTGATAAGCTTATGCATGTTCCTTTCTGTGAATCTTGTGTGCTTGGAAAACAAACCCGCGTTAGTTTTCCTAACCCGAATCCTGTTACTCGAACTAAGTGTTCTGATGTGCTTGAATATTTGCATGCCGATGTGTGGGGTCCCGCAAGTGTTTCCACTCACGGAGGGAACCAATATTTTCTTTCCATAATTGATGATTGTTCTACAAAAGTTTGGGTCTTACTTTTGAAACAAAAATCTGAAGTTTTTGATAAATTTAAAAACTGGAAAGTCTTGATTGAGAACCAAACTAGAAAGAAAATAAAAACACTTAGGACAGATAATGGCCTTGAATTTTGCAACAAACAACTTGATAATTTGTGTGTTACTTGGGGTATTAAAAGACACAAAACTGTTCCTTACACGCCTCAACAAAATGGGGTAGCTGAGAGGATGAACAGAACTATTTTAGAGAGGGTGAGGGCTATGTTAGCTACTTCTGGACTTTCTAAAAATTTTTGGGGTGAAGCTGTTTGCACTGCTGCTTATTTGATCAATAGGTCTCCATCTATACCTTTAGGAGGGAATTGCCCAGAAGTTGCTTTCTCGGGTAAACCCTTAGATTTATCAAACCTGCGTGTGTTTGGTTGTGCTGGTTATGTGCACCAAATGAATGATAAACTCGAACCAAGATCTAAACTATGTGTTTTCTTGGGTTATCCTGACGGGGTAAAGGGTTATAGGTTGTGGGTAAAAGGTGAACCAGGTTTCAAAATTGTGATAAGTAGAAATGTTGTTTTCAATGAAAATAATTTTCCTTGTTTGTCCTTGCCTATTCCCAATGTTGAAAATGTGGCTCCAAATGAGGCGGAGCAATTGTCTGTTATCATTCCTACTGATGTGCATGTAGAAACTAATGAACATGTTGATACGAACCATGATTCACACACTAATGAAGATGAGACTATTTCTAATGAGGTGGAGCATGATAATGTAGAATCACATGTTGAAAATGATTTGCATGACTATCAACTTGCTAGGGATAGAAATAGAAGAACCATTAGCAAACCTGCGAGATATGTTGATGACTGTAATATGTCTGAGTTTGCTTTTCATGTGTTTGAATCCCTTGAGTGTGATGAACCTAAGACTTATCGTGAAGCATTAGAATGTAAATGTTCTGAAAAATGGGTTAGTGCTATGAAATGTGAGATGGAATCCCTTCGTGTTAACCAAACGTGGAAACTTGTGCCAAAACCTGAAAATTGTTCTCTTGTGGACTGTAAGTGGTTGTTTAAAATTAAGCAAGAACCTGAAAACGTTAGGTTTAAGGCTAGACTTGTGGCTAAGGGATTTACTCAAAAGGAGGGAATAGATTATGTAGAAATTTTTTCTCCTGTTGTCAAGTTCACCACAATTAGAATCATGTTGTCTTTAGTTGCTCAGTATAATTGGGAATTAAAACAAATGGATGTGACTACTGCTTTCTTACATGGTCATCTTGATAAAAATATTTATATGCACCAACCTGAAGGATTTGTTGATCCTAAGTTTCCTAATCATGTGTGCTTGTTGAAAAAGGCTTTGTATGGTTTAAAACAATCACCTAGGCAATGGAACATTAAATTTGATAATTGCATGAAAAACTTTGGGTTTAAGAGAAGTAATGCTGATCACTGCTTGTACTTCAAGAACACTTTCTCTGTTCCTGTTTTTCTTCTCCTTTATGTGGATGATATGCTAATCATTAGTCCTAGCTTAAAATCTATTGAGCATGTTCAAAAATATCTTTGCAAAAATTTTGACATGAAAGATTTAGGAGATGCTAGAAAAATACTTGGCATGAATATTGTTAGGGACAGAAAGAAATCTACTCTTGTTTTAAATCAAAATTCCTACATTGATAAGATTTTGAGTAAATTTGCTATGTCTAATGCTAAACCTGTGGATGTTCCTTTAGCTGCTCAATTTGTGTTGAGTAAGGATATGTGCCCTAAAACTAAAGCTGAAATTAATGAAATGAAAAGTGTTCCTTATTCGAATGTTATTGGTTCTGTGATGTAACTTATGATTAGCACTAGGCCTGATATTGCATATGCTGTTAGTTGTTTGAGTAGATACATGTCTAATCCTGGTATGGCTCATTGGAATGCTCTAAAATGGCTTTTGAGATACTTGAAATCTACTAGGAATGTTGGTTTAACTTTTTCAAGAAGTGATAAAAGTGTTAGATTAATTGGCTATGTGGATTCAAACTATGCAAACGATAGGGATAATAGAAAATCTACTACTTCCTACGTGTTCACTTTGTGTGGTTCTTGCATTAGTTGGAAATCTCAACTTCAACACATTGTTGCTTTATCTACTACTGAGGCTGAGTATGTTGCAGCCACAGATGCTTTTAAAGAAGCCATTTGGCTTAAAGGTCTTTTATCTGAAATATGCTTGTTCGATAAGAATGTGGTTGTTTTTTCTGATAGTCAATTTGCCATTCAACTATGCAAAAATCCTGTTTTTCATGATAGAACAAAACATATTGATGTTAGGTTTCATTTTATTAGAGACATAGTTGAAAAGGGCATTGGCATGCTGGAGAAAATTCCTACGGAGTCTAATCCAGCTGACATGGGTACTAAGTGTTTACTTGTTGAAAAATTTACCTTTTGTCAAAAGATTTTAAATCTATCTCTGTGATTGTGTATTGATCTTTGGTTCTTTCTTGTCTTTGTGACCTTTTTTGCTTTTCTTTTGGTTTTGAACTCGATGACCCAATGGTAGAGTTCGACTCTTTGTGAGTTATTTTTGGCATGCTTTGTGATGTTGCCCAGTCTTTGTGACTTGAGAGTACTTAGTGAACTCTCCACCACTACGTGTGTTCTCATTTGTTGATTACACATTTAGTGGTTACAAGGCTATGATGAGTCCCGCGGTTCCTTGTCAACTATGTGCACTACTTTGGGCCAAAGGTGGAGATTGTTAATTTATTTGGGTTGGCCCAAACATATTAATAATATTTGACACCCAACCCAGCAGCCCATTTACTCAAGCCCAACCTTTACTCCTTAACCTAATTAAGCTTGCCTTAATTACCACCCTAATCTTCACTATATATTGAGGTTGTTGGAACACACTTTGCACGTTAAACTAAAGTCGTGTTCATTTCTGACAGGTTTTGATAATTGCCAAACCGCCGTGGATATGAAGAGTTTCGTTGAATAACTCAAGGCGTGAAGAATGACTTGGAACAAGACCTAAAAGACTCAAGGACAAGATCAAGAATTGAAGACTTAGTCGAGTCGGTCTTTTGTGATCAAAACCGACAATTTATTCAAGTCTCGGTTCTCAAAAAGTCAAAACAATTTTTACAAACCATAAAAACATTTTTTGTGCATCAAAACAGACATTTTTTGATGACTTCTTTTATTTTTAAAATCCCTGGTCCTTGCTCAGAACCAAAACCACCTAAGTCGGCATTCGGCTTTCGTCGTTCGGTTTTCGGCGTTCGGTTTTTTGGCGCCCGAACCAACTCCGTGGTTTTCAATATTTTAAACCCTGTTTTTATCTCTGAGCATATTTTAAAGGTTCCCGAATAATTATTTTGTAAAAACCATCTTTGTATCTTGGTCAATCGATCTAACACGTGAAAAACGGTCAAAACCGTACGCACGTGATTTACGACCTTGAGGACTTGGTTTTTACCAAACAAGTCTTGTTTTCACTATTTTATACCATATACAATGTTTTTCAAACTTGGTTTTTACTTTTGGGAACGCTTCGTTTTTGGACCTCGGTTTTTCAAAACGGGTTTCAGCTGGCTAGACTTT